AGAAAGGGAATGTCATCACCCATTTGGAAAGGCACAAATCAAGATCCAAACCTGTGCAGTATCATCTAGGGAGATTTCAGTAGTTTCCCCATCACCAAGGAAAGAGGGTGCATTGAGCAAGGAAGAATCAGCATCAAGCTCTGGGGCAGAACTGTGTACCTCAGGGGTCTCGCTATCGTACACAGTAACAAGGGCTTCCTCAGAGCTTGATGCTGTGTCCTCGCCAGCATGATTAGTGGGGTTGGTGGCATCATCATCATCGTCATTAGTAGCAGCAGCGGCATCCAGAGTGCTAGCCTCCTCCGCAGGTGTGATAAAGCTACTCATAACTGCAGGCTCTACAGAGGGTGCATCTACCAGGTTGGCTGGAGGCTCTGACGACAGCTCCTGCGGGAGGGTCATGCTGAGATCAAGAAGTGCACTGGAAGATGGAGGTGAGGCTGAGAGCTCCTGTGCTGATGTGGTAGGGGTGGAGGTGGTGGAGGTTTCAGGTGGGGTCAGTATATCGGGAGAGGATGTAAGGTCTTCGGAGGTATTGGGGAGTGGGTCAAATAGAGTGAAATCTGGGTGGGTGAGAGAGGAAGAGGTGGTGGTAGGTTGAAGGTCTTGGTCTTTGTCCGTATCCACAATTAGTGGAATCTCTACCAAAGACCCAACGGAAGGAGTGGTGGGAGGGGTAGGTGGGGGGTCCTTGGCGTCAGTGCTGACCTGCTGCGTGCCTCCCCCCTCAGCAGGCTGCTCCAGAGGCACAGATGAGAAACCACCTACAGAGGGTTCCTCACAAGACTCAAAAAGGTCAGGCCGGTCACCACCTGAGGGGTCAGGGGGGAAGGATGTAGCAGGTGGGGGGGATGTGAGGGGGTCGCCGGCCCCCTCTTGCTTCGTTTGGTCCTCAGGTGTGGTCAGCTCGCTCACGGGCGACTGCAACAACATGAGTGACAACTATTACGACTACCATGGCACATGCAGCTTATTCATGCAATTCAAGGTCACCACAACTGATAAACATCTAATGATACATATAATGGATTATATCTTATCAATATTGAAAACAAATATTCAAACATACTTTCAAATTAGAAAATAATAAGCTCTTTAGGTAAAACTGATGGATAAATTTCTCAGAAAAACAGAGACCTACGCTTCCTAAATGTGAATGATTAATCTTGCATCCAATATACAATTGAAATCCTATTCAGATCATCTTAAAATCAACCTCTACATCTCTTTTATCTACCATTATGCTTTTAAATTTTACTTAACAGTACTTTCCATATAGAACAAAAATAAGCGTCCCCTATGTGGTGACCTCGAATCATGTACACTAGCAACAAAAATATTGTTCATGAGGACAGCATTATCATCCTGCATGACTATCAAAATAGGAAGATCAAAAAAAAGAAAAATCTCAAAAGATAAGAAAAAATAACTGTGAAGCAAATGAAATCAAGATCACAGATTAGCATGAAAATCAACAGATTCATTTGTTTTTCACTCTCTTATCACATGCATAAGGCTATCAAAATTTAAAAAAAAATCTGCAAAAAGCTTCAGTTACAAATGGATACAAAGAAATGTAAAAAGTTCATGGGAAAAAATATGTAGTAAAAAAACAACAACAAGAAAACAATAACATCAACACTTAGAGACTACTTCCATGAAAATACTGCCGCAAGATTTTTCTAATACCTTCTTTACCTTCAAAGACACCAATCATTACTAAAAATAATTCTAGCTAAAGGTGAGAATCAAATCTGTATCTACTTGAACATGAGTTACAGTGTAAATGCAATAACACATCTCCTAGAATAGAGGTATAGATCACTTAAGATTTCACATCGTAAGAAAGTACTTTTCAAGTCTGGAAAGGAAGTCTAAGAATTGAGGATCAAAAACAACACACACTTAGAGAGGGTTTACTCCTTACTACGCATGCTAAAGTCGAAAGTGGTGAAACTGCTACGTGTCTCAATTCCTCTCAATTCTACCGGGCCCAGAGGAATACACGGGAGTATTACGTGGGAGTTCTAACATCAATCTAACATTTAACACTTATTTTCATCCTATGAAGAACACACAAATATAGAAACAAACAACGGAATAGCCTCCGAAATTCGGGCATGCACAAGCTGAAAGTGATATGCAGTAACAAGTGGAGATAAAACTGAACTCTTGACAGAATGATTACCAAAAAGTTCAATATACATACAATTTCAGATTGCAGAACTGCCCCCTATACGAAAGATTATTAATTGCAATGAATTTACTAGAAAATTATTTCTCTTCAACTCAATTGGTACATAGAGCATTTTCTGTGTGGAGCTCAAAGTTATACATCAAAATTCCCATAGATGTATATAAAATGTCTTCTGAAACTTTCATGTTTGTCACTTACTGCACCATGAAGATTATGCAGTTTTTGGGTTAAAGCATGTTATGAAAAATTGGCTTTTTATTCTACATTGCAAAACATATAATGAATATTTCACTTTTTATTCACATTTCATTTTTGGAATTACTCCACTTTCTTTTATCAATAAATAAATTAGCATAACAGAGATATAGCATTTCATTTTCAACATTTGATTATGTCATTTTACCATGTCATCCATTACTTCTTCAGTATTTGTATGTGTATATCCATTGACAAAATCATAAGTTTATTTGCATGAAACCTCATATGTGCCATCCAAAAAGTAATATACATCAGTACTTTGATGACCTTTCTTAAAAACATTAAGATATTTCACATCATATCCCATGCCTTTCTACCACAACCATAATTTGTCATTCAGAATCCTATTATCTTTTAACGTAACTTTCATTACAAAAAAAATATATCAGTCATAAGGTATCAACACGCCTTCTTTCTGTCCTTGACAAATAAAATCAATACTTAACAAAGACAACAATAGGATAATTCAAGACAAGTGACATATCTTATCAGGGGTGTGTGCTATGGCGGATACTGATAACTACACATGAAAGTCTACAATCACTTGCATATCATTAACTTCTTCTTTTTATCCCTTTATATTACATAGCCTATTTGTTTGTTTCTTCTGGTATATTTAAAGCAAAGGTAACATTAAAGATTCATATAAGAATATATACACAATATATAAATTCATCCATGAAGTAACTGACTCCTTATAATCTCTACTTTACTGCTAATTAAAAATCTAAAATGGGAATTAAACATTTTGATATACCTAAATGATATAAAATACACACAAATTAAGAAAGCCATGTCACACATATTCCACTGACAGCTTTAATCTAAACATCACTTTAATTTTTGCAATCCAAAACAAGTCACAAAATCTACATGATTTTTTACTGTAATTAGTGTTTCAAGATATCCAAACAAACAAAAATCTAAATGACAATTCCTTCACAAACTTTTTTCCCTTTAATTACAAGCCTTTTTCAAATAAAACAAAAATACTAGGTAGAATACTAAAAATACCAAACTAACTTACATTTTTTTCAAGGCTTTCTCAAGAGGGACATAAAAAATTTAGCTTTCAACACCACTTTTATCATTATCATCTTACAAATCAGCTGTGCTGTCACAAGCTGGACATAGCAAGCATGCATGGATGAGTCACACTGTCAAAGCACACACACCTATTCATTAAATGCATTAATGTTAAGATTCTTTTTCTAATCTCTGTCTTTAATGAAAGAGACCTCATTCTATTAAGACCCAATACATATAAATCATCTCTGTATTTGAACAGCTCATGCAGTTTAGCTCATTGTGTAATCTGTAGGTAAAACAAGCTCAGCCAAGCTAACTGCAAGGAATCACAACAAACAGCTACACCTAAAATTCCTTAACTGAATATGATTAAGCTGTTTCTTCTCTAAAATTACTTACTGACATTTGTCTTTCTCCCTCTGTGGTGGCTCAGAACATACACTGATGAATTCTTTTACTTTCTTTAACAATATATTATTTAAAAGGTTGTATCAAAGCTCAAAAAGCAACTGTGGAGTATTTACTATTCTTTTTTATTTCCTTAATTTCTTTACAAATTTTCAGATACTTTTGGACAAGTAAGGTAAATATTCCTCATTTCTTCGATAAACAGCATTAAGAAATCTCTCATGACACCTGTAACTACTAAGAGACAGCACAGCACTTTTGTCTGGCGAACAGATTTGTCTTCAACACTTTTGATCTACACATCTAATCATTCTATATTTCTTTATCTGTTAGAATAATACATTTCTAACAAAAAAGAAAAGAATCCAAATATGATGCCTTTAATAATATACCTTCTTTCAGAGAAATATCCTGTGACACTGAATACTAACAAACAAACAGGAGTATACCAACAATAGCTGCCAATAAGGTAATAAGTGGTTTAAATTGGTTACTCACTTGCTATTCAGCAATCCTACAGCATGTAAACAGCTTTCCCTCTTTTGAGAGCTTTGAACTCAAGTTATATATATATGATGTTTAAACTTCCATATCTTCTGAAAGATTCATTAATCTACATTCAGAAGACTCTTCCCAGAATAACAAATTGTTTCAATATTGAGCCCATTGTTCTTATATGCACTGTACTTGAAAACCATACCCTGATTTTAAAATCATGGTTTGTATTTGATTCAACCATGAGCACTTAAACAGAATCCCCTTTCCTAACAACTAATCCATGCCATTTAGGCATGAACTCCTTAATTAGCAAATTTACTCCACAGATTGCTGATAGACACTACAGGTTCTTTGATCAGGGTATAGATATGTATCTTTCACTAGGTCTATGCTTTTATAAATAAAATATAATATCTACTTTATTAACTCTTGCCATATGGCAAGAGTCTATACCAGCCACTCATTAGTTAAGAAATAAAATATGGTGTGCTCTTTTTGTTATCGTATCTGTGCTACACAGGTGCTGTAAACTCAATGGAGCCAACAGTAATCTGTGTACGAGTGGCTAGATTAACACCGCTTGGGTCACGTACACTAAGGCTTATTTTGTGTCACAGTTTAGACTCTCCCTTGCATTTTGCCGATATTTTATACATTTCTGATCAGTTTATAATTACAAAAAGAATGGTATCATATTTGAATCATGAAATACGATTAGAATATCTTGACTTCCTTTAACATAATTTCTCTATATCTATGATTTATCTGATAATACATAAAGAACACTTATTTTTTCTTCTGAGGATCTAAACTAGGCCTAAATCATAAATCTTGAAATACGCAAAAAAAAAAGAGACAAGTTTGATAAATCCATCATATTCTTCCAAAACTTAACCACAAATTGCAAGTAACTTAAAAGTTTCACAGACTTATGAGTTTAGAAGAACGGCTCCTTGCAAACTGTATGTTAAAAAAATGGGAAAAAAGAAAGTTTACCTTACGATTTGAATCCTACATATTACTAATATATGCCCATTAGATTCTGAAATTTCAATGCATAAGACTATAGCTTTTTAGAAGATACCCACAGTGACTTCCAAAATGGGACTTATTTTTTCATAAATCTCTATACAAATCTATCTAAAACTTGCTATTATCCGTGAAAGCAGGCATACAATCTCGTGTCCAACACAACAGTTGCACCAGCAATTGCACCAGCCTCTGCCTTTGTACTCTGACACAGGTCAACGAACCTCCATTCCATGTATTCAAGCAAGAAAAAGCTTCGATGGGTCCCTTATTCAATGATAAATTGCCAGGGAGGTCTACAAACTATGCCTTGACAGAATACACAAATTTTAGGTTTGTTGTCTCTGATGGAATATTACTGGCAAGAGGCTAGTGGCAGGAGTGCACGGTATTATAAAGATTTACCTATAACTGTATATTATGTATCATCTCATAACAGTGGTATATTTGCCTCTACCTAATCTCAAAGCTGGAAGGCTGCTGTGAGTGCAAGGCATAAGTATTATATCCGACGAGATTGTAGGCCTGTTATCACAGCATCACTGAGCTTCAAGTAGATTTAGAAATAATTATAAGAAAAAATCCAGGTATAGTTTAAAATTCCATTTCAGTGCCACTGTCAATCTTTTCCAAATATTCACTTTCAAATATAACATGATAATCTGACTCATATTATAACTCAGTTGTATAATTTCTAAATCATTAAATTGAGATTGTAATTCAATCAATCAAAAATTTATATTTCTCTTCTACTTTTGTATTCATATTCCTTTTTCACATTATTATCTTCATCATCTAAATCATTTTCCAAATGCTGAACAAACTGGTAAACAGTTAAGTTTTCTTTCCTAAGAATATATATATTTAGGCCAAATTCTCTCTCCTACAACTTCAAATTCAAAATATACCATATTGTTCTGCAATTTTTCTGCAATTATTGTTCTGTAACTTCATAACATATTGTTCTGCAATTTTTCAAGGGAAAAACATGAACTTCTGTAACTTCTTAAAACAGAAACCAGACTACTTCCGAGACACAAGAGAAACTGCCGACAAACAATCTCTCGCATACTATTATCTCACACACCTCCTGGATATCATTATCTCCCACATGGCTACAATCTCAGAAACAACATAAGGCAATAACATAATCCACGGTTTAAAAACTAATGAAGAACTAGATTTTATTATTCAAAATTTGGGACAAACTGCAAGGCACTGCCCTCGGAGGAAAAAGTTGGCACCAAACTCAATCCCCTGCACACTAAAGCCTGCAGGTGTTTACATAAATAAGCTCAACATATCCTCAATGAGCTCCAAGATTAACATAATAAGCTCAATGATATAATGCTTACACCACTACTTTCTCGACTGGGAAATAACTGTCAGTGAATGACAAAACACTATATACAACGCATAGCAATTTACAATTTTAAGGATTTAGAGTTCTCTGTTTTAATAATGCATCTGAGGGGAGATAATGCTGTTTAGAAGCAATTAAGAACGAAAAACACTACGTTTTATATACACAAGCAGTCACACGACCCAGCGTTTGGAAGGGGGAGGAACCCGTGACTGCGCATTCCTCCTTCCCTCTCGTTTTTATCTCTTCTCAGGTATCCTAAATGGGTCCTCTTGCCTCACCTGGACGGCCGACGTGAAGAGGTCGTCATTGTCATCGTCCTTGCGCGAATCGTCGTCGTCGTTGAAGAGAGGAGGAGGTTCCCTTGAGTCTGCCATCCTTGCGAACCGCCTGACAGGAAGTGGCTCAGCGGCTGTCGGGGAGGAGGAGGGCGTTCGTCTGGGGTTCGGATTCGCATGGATACATGTGGATACACCCCATTTTCCGTACTTTTTCTGTTGTTCTTTTAGGATTTAGGATCAACGCCCGTTTTGTTGTTCTTTTAGGATGTATATTTGAGTTTATTCTGGGGATTTGAAGTTGTAGAAACGTGTTTATGAATCTAAATCTTAGGCTGAATTCGTGACAAAATCCCCATTTTTTTATTTGCACCTGTTTAATCACTTTGGGACCGGATTCGTGCGGATAGTTATCCTTTTAGTTTTTATGCCTTTTGGTCGTGCTTTTAGATTTTGAGGGACTAGATATATTGCAAGATATAAAGAAATCTTTATGCCCACACCCAATGTACAATTCTTGATTATGATTTTTTACAGATTCATTTATCTATAAGGGATTATTTTTCTTACGTAATATATTTGCATGTAGGAGGACTGATTTCCTTTCGTTTTGTTCATATTGAGGAATGAACTAATAATATTGTTAATAAACAAAGTGAAAAACTGTCATGTTCATAAAAATCAAATCGATTTTACTGTATTTTTCACAGAATCGTTTTGCCATCTAGATTACTTCAGAGTTTTAGCTTCTACCTGGTTCATCATAGTCTTTCTTTAAGTGACACACCCACCTATATATGCACGTACATGCACTACACACACACACACACACACACACACACACACACACACACACACACACACACACACACACACACACACACACACACACACACACACACACACACACACACACACACACACACACACACACACACACACACACACACACACACACACACACACACACACACACACACACACACACACACACACACACACACACACACACACACCACACACACACACACACACACACAATCACTCACTCACACACAACTACTCGAAAAAAAGTTATCAAAACAAGATGATTGAGATCCAAAAGTGAAATAACGATAATGAGAGGGAAAAAACACATGAAAATCAAAAACATTTATTCATCACCGACCTAAAGAATTCAGATAGTGGGTGTATTTGCGATCCTAACTTCAAAAACGTTTTGGTGAAATATTCAAGCTGATGGGAAGAAAATAACCTCAAATATAACTAACGACCACACAGTTCGATTAACTTTTTTATGATCTTTATATCCAAGATGACATACTTAATTATCTAATCGAAGTAACTTATCGTAAAGAAAAAAATATTATGACGTCATAGCATACAGTATGCACAACAGCGCTTACAAAAACTCATAGTTTTGTTTACATGCGACCACCTAGGCTGTACGCTATAATGGCTAGTGGTTTCGCAGTGTGAAAATGTGTCTTTAGTTTGGACTCGTATTGAAAGGCTGGATTGATAGCCCTCTTGTATGCATATATTAGTGGAAAGAGTAACATAACTAAGTATGTGTTGATACGAGTTTGATTTATTTGGGATATTTTAGTCGTTGTGTTGTACCTTGATTTTATGTTCATCTGCGCAGGGAATTAATTTATATTTTTTCTAGAATGATAGATGATTTGTTTGCTATCAGAAGTAGTTGTTGAGTCACAAGTAAAACAGTGTAATACCAGCAAGATAAAGCTCATAGAATACAGTAGTAAATTGCCATCTAAAAAAATATTAATCCAGTGTCTTTCTTACCAAATAAGGTACAGAGGCCATGGCAATCACAGAACTTATTATGATCGGTATCCATGTTGACAAATGTAGAAAAGGTATGCATGAGACTGGATATTTTCACAATACAAGTGATATATTTCACCAGTTTCGATTATGTCTTTGTCAGAAATACTTTATGTATTTCTGACGAAGACATAATGGAAACCGGTTAAATACATCTCTTGTATTGTGAAGATATCCAGTCTCATTCATACCTTTTCTACAAGGACTTAATATCTTTGGCAAATGCAGTCCTAAGTTCAAAAACTACTGCTAGATTACAGGTGTACTATGTAATTCAATAAATGTTTATTCATATGTCTTGGATAATACACATTCTTGTGGTATGGTATTAACCCCCTGGATCTGGATGACATTGTGATCACGTCAAGGAAGAACTTGGACAGCTATACGGATGACATGAACAAAGCGTCAAGAGCGAAGGCCAGGGTGAGGGAAAAGACTCGCCATGAGTGCACAAACCTCTTTGAGTGTGATTTGACTCATTTGGCACTTAGAAGGGGGCTTTAGCATTATTCCCATCGATGAGAATGTGGAATGTAACGTGCGTAAGCAGTGACAGGAAGAGTGTCGGCTCCAGTGAGGACGATATTTCCATGCTGCGTGCCGTATTCCTGGCAGTTGTGACCAGTAGCATAGGTTGTATTACGTAAAATTGAAAATTACCAAAAAATGAGATATATGACACAAATAACCAAATGTTTCATATATTTTTTTTCTTGCACTGAGCTATTTACTACACAGAGAGATGATATGGAGTCTGTGCAAGGAAAATAAGTAATAACCATCTGGATAAAGCAAATCAAAAGACAAATATGGACATTGGAAAATGGCAATAAAGCTAAAAAAGTTTTCACAAAATAACTTCTCAAAGGGGAGGCACAGAGTCTTGTCACCGCTCATGGGTGTTCATGCGAGCACGGCCTACGCACCACACGCCCGGGATACTTGCCACTTACGTAACCATTGCAACCGGATCCAGGGAATTGATATACTATTCTTCATGGTAAAAATTGGTGAAATATTGAGATTGAACAGATTTACTTTCTGAAGTACTAATACTGCAATACAATCAATTTGAAATCAGTCAAACTAAATGCAATATGCTTTTCAACTCTAATTTTCCGTCTGCCATTTGGGGCTTTAGTATAGTCCTTAATACACTTTTACTATCAAGTCATTTTGGATACATAGACCATTGTAATTCTGTTGCTGTGGATATGACAGCAAGTTTCTGAGTGGAGAAGATAATCTTTTATAATGAGACCACTTTCCCATCACAAGCTTTTATGAATCTTGATCTTGGACTACAGGCTAGAGGATAGACACAAACCTTAATTTTCACATATCAGTTGTATTTACTTATCGTTTCTCATTTGGATAACATGTAAACTAATCATTTTTAAACTTTTTCAGAAGTGAGACTTGAATTGACATTTTTACAAGCTACCAGTTTCAATGTCCAAGCAAAGGCGCACAGTCTCCACTTCCTCCACTTCTTGCGAAGGTATGCATATTTTTACATAGTTAAAGGCTTGGTATCTGTTAATGCATTGGTATTTTATATAAAAAATGGATGAAAGTGTTTACAGTTACTCTCATCTACCCATTACATGTAATGATATTGATGCTTTTGCCAATTATGATTTGGTACTCTTTAATTTATTATTGAATATTTATTTTGTTTTTGCTTCTAAAATATTGCTACTCCTGCTAAAGAGGATCAAAAAAATGTTCACCTTATATACATTAGATGGAAACTCCATTCTGATTTTTTTCTTCTTTTCGTTTTACAGATATGAGCACAGAAGTGAAGTTTCTATGAATTATCTAGTGTCTTTTGTAGCCTGGATGAGGCAGAAGTCCAGTGTGAATCCTAAAATCTAGTGAAAGCAAGAAGAAAAAAATGAATGGACATTAAAATTTAGTGCTGAGAACGGAGTACTTTCTATAAAGAGAAGCAAGATGAATGATGATAAACATGAACCCATAGACAAAGATGACTTGCAAGGAAGAGAGATTGATGCAGAAGTGCTAGTGAGCAAGGATAGTGAAAGTAGTGCGCAATTAAGTGACACAATGGATGTACAAACAGAGGAAGAAGTTGAAAAAAGGAACCTAAAGGGAAGCACAGTGGAGACAGAGCATATGGAACAGGGGATGCAGTTAAAACAAGATTCTGATTCTGAAAATGGATTACTGTTATGGTATGATGAACAGGATGATACGGGGAGCAGTAGTGTAGGGGTTCAAGATGCAGAATTACATGATGAAGATACAACATTAAGCAGTGCCGAAAAAAGTGACTTGCCAACAGAGGAGGAGGAAGAGGAGGAAGCAACAAATTTAAGGGACAATAAAGATCAGCATGTTGGTCAATGTAAGGAAGAAAGTAAGCAAGCAAAGATAAAAGAGGACACACACAAAGATGACAAAGAAAACATTATGGCTGAAGAAGAAGAGAAGACACTGGAGAGTAATGAAGAAGAGGACTTGCAGGAGAGTTATAAAGAGAAAACTACAGCTGATGAAGAAGAGGACATGCAGGAGGCTGAGGAAGTGAACGTTTTGAAAAGTGAAGAAGAGGACAAGCAGGAGAGCAATGAAGATGAGAACAGGCAGGAGAGTAATGAAGAGAAAACTACAGCTGATGAAGATGAAGATACTCAAGAGGTTGACGAAGGGAAGAGTACAGCTAATAAAGAAGAGAACAGGCAGGAGGCTGAGGAAGATGACATGCAGGAGGATGAGGTGGAAAGTACTATGGCTGATGAAGATGACAGGCAGGAGAGTAATGAAAAGAAAACTACAGCTGATGAAGATGAAGATACTCAACAGGCTGATGAAGGGAACATTATGGCTAATGAAGAAGAGGGCAGGCAGGAGAGTAGTGAAGATGAGGACAGGCGGGAGAGTAATGAATTTGAGGACAGACAGGAGAGTACAGAAGATGAGGACAGGCAAGAGAGTACTGATGAGAAAACTACAGCTGATGAAGGAGAAGATAGTCAAGAGACTGATGAAAGGAACATTATGGCTAATGAAGAAGAGGACAGGCAAGAGGCTGAGGAAGGTGACATGCAGGAGGATGAGGAAGAAAACATTATGGCTGATGAAGAAGCCGACAGGCAGGAGAGTACTGAAGAGAAAACTACAGCTGATGAAGATGAAGACATGCAAGAGGTTGAGGAAGGGAACATTACAGCTAATGAAGAAGAGGACAAGCCAGGGGATGAGGTAGGAAGTATGGCTGATGAAGAATATCACAATCAGGAGAGTAATGAAGAGAAAAGTACAGCTGATGAAGATGAAGACATGCTAGAGGCTGATGAAGGGAACATTACGGCTAATGAAGAAGAGGACAGGCAGGAGGCTGAAGATGACATGCAGGTGGATGAGGAAGAAAATACTATGGCTAATGAAGGAGATGACAGGCAGGAGAGTAATGAAGAGAGAGCAACAGATGATGAAGGTGAAGATAGTCAAGAAGCTGATGAAAGGAACATTGTGGCTAATGAAGAAGAGGACAGGCAGGAGGCTAAGGAAGATGACCAACAGGAGGATGAGGAAGAAAACATTATGGCTGATGAAGAAGACGACAGGCAGGAGAGTACTGATGAGAAAACTACAGCTGATGAAGATGAAGACAGGCAAGAGGTTGAGGAAGGGAACATTACAGCTAATGAAGAAGAGGACAAGCCAGGGGATGAGGTAGGAAGTATGGCTGATGAAGAATATCACAATCAGGAGAGTAATGAAGAGAAAAGTACAGCTGACGAAGATGAAGACATGCTAGAGGTTGAAGAAGGGGACATTACGGCTAATGAAGAAGAGGACAGGCAGGAGTCTGAAGAATCTGATAAGCAGGTGGATGAGGAAGAAAATATTATGGCTAATGAAGATGACAGGCAGGAGAGTAACGAAGAGAAAACTACTACAGATGATGAAGATGAAGATACTCAAGAGGCTGATGAAGGGAATGTTATGGTTAATGAGGACAGGCATGAGTATGAAGAAAACATTATGGCGGATGAAGAAGATGACATACAGGGAAGTAATGAAGAAAGAAATACAGCTGAAGATGATAGGCAGGAAGCTGAGGAAGAGAACATGCTGGAGGATGAGGACAAAAACATCATGGCTGATGAGGAAAAGGATATGCAAATGTCTGAAGAAGAGAGTAGGCAGGAGAGCAAAGAAGAGAACACAAATAAAGAAGATATTGCTGAAAAGTCACCGGTTCTTGGACAGAAACACAGGAAGAGGATGCCTAGTTTAGACGGTTTAGAAATTAAGAAAACAACACCCGAGAGGAACAGTCCCAACAGCGATGCTGAAAGAACTCCACCAGATAATTCTGGGGAAGTTCAGACATCAGGTGAATGCCAAATCACCAGAACATCACCAATTATTGGCTCTAGATTAAAGGATACCACCGGCAGCCCATTTAAGCCTGATGTAACGGGCCTGACAGCAGAAGATACATGCAACCTTGTTATTACATCTGTAAGGGGAAAGGTTGCAGACTTTACATATGGTAACAAAAATTCTCAAACAGCAGTAGATGATAAAGAATTAGCTTCTGGATCTTCAGATATAAGGAATAACAAATCATTAACTTCTGTGGAGAAGAATATTGAATGTGTAGAGATAGTTAGTGAAAGTGAAGAGGAAAATGTATTTGAGGAATGTAAAGCTGTTGTTTGTAAGAAATGTCGAAGCATTTGGACTGAGAAAGTTTTGCATACAATCTTTAAGGGCAGTGAAGCAGTGACTGTCAAATCAAAAATAACTTTTGGAGCTATTGTCTTAATCAATAACTGGGCCCATAGACACATCCAGTACAACAAAGAGACAGCTGTGAGAAACATGCTAGAGAGAGCTGATCTAGGTAAAAATATCAAGGGCCTGGAGATAGGTGATCTTAGTCAGTGGCTTTTCGAACTTATGGACAAAGGCAAGATAAAATGCTGTGCAGTATTTGATGCCATATATAAGCCAGAACCTATCAAAGTATCATTGAGCTCTCTGAAAAAAGCTAAAGGAGCTAGCAGTGAGGCCAAAAGAACATCTAGTAAAGATCAGGATGATAGTGAAATGTCAAAGAAGAGGCCATTGCAGTTTGAAGAGGAAAAATTACCAGATTCACATGATTTCTCAAAAGTGCCAGAGGTGAGCGAGGAAGCTAGTGCTAAGAAGGAAAAGAAAGATGGGTTGGCAGATATATCATATGTGCAGGACCATAGGTCACCAGAAAGAGCACAAACAATTAAAGAAAAGGTTAATGAAACACTAGAACAGAAATCAGAACCAGATGCAGAAATTTCCCGACTTAGTCCAAGGCAGTCTGATGAAGTTACCACTGAGCAAGATGAAAGTTTATCCGAGTCTCGTTCTTTCAGTCCTGAGACACAGTCCAAGGCAGTTCTGACTGATGACCAAGTATCTACAGGAGAAGAGGTTTTATCTGAAGCAGAACCATCACAGGCAGAAGAGGTTGGCTATGTATATGAGGAAGATATGGAAGTTAGTGACCATGAAGAGGGTGAGAATGATCAGAATGTTGCTGCAACACTAGCACACAGACAGGAGGAGGACGCTGAACCAGATTTGCAAATGACAAAAGAGAGAGAGATGTCAGGAACTGTAGAAGAAGACAGTCAGTCTTTGTTATGCAAAAAGCTTGGTTTAGATCTTCATAATATTGATATTAGTTGTTCTAGTAGTGACATGAAAAGGGCCAACAATGGAACTGTGGCAAAGCAAGTTTCAGTTGAAGAGGAGGTGTCTCATGCTCACATTACATTGTTAAAGGAACGGTCTGCTTTACATGGGTTTGCAATGGAAGCGTTTGATCTGTTGCCCTTTGAGGCAGAAAATTTCTATGACTCTGTACAGAATGATGATTCTGCTCAACGCTTCATGACAAATCGTGAATTACTGACACTGCACAGCATTTTCATTCTAGATGCAGAGCTCCCCAATGCTGAACTCTTTTATCAAGTTTTGATTCAGATTCTAATGAGTCGTAACCAGGTCTTGCTTGTCCCTGACAGCCGAACTTTGCTGCAGGTCCTTGAGAAGTTGCGGCG